TATGATGTCAGTGACTTTTTGTTTGTTTTAAGACAGGCTATCATAGATAGCTACTTTGTTTTATTTAAGACAGGGATCAATGGCTATGTGACTCAGGATGACCTCGAACTTCTGATCTTAGTAAACATCCCAACTTCAAAAATTTCATTGTGTACCACTATGCCCAACTTATGTGATATTGGGACTCAAACCCAGGACTTCATACACTCTGGACAAGCACCATACCAACTATGCTACATTCCAGCCCCTTTTATTGTCTTTATTTGGAATTAAGTGTAACATAAGAAATGGTTAGGTATCAAATTTAAAAGGATAAAATGTGATGATTGGTCTTGATTATCTACTTGATAGTATTTAGAATGAGCTAAGAGACACACCTCTGGTTGGGTTTGTGAGAATGCTTCCAGAGAAGATTAGCTGAGGGATGAACATCCACCCTCAAACTGGCTGGCACCTTCTAACAGGTGGCCCATGTATAAATGGGTTCAAGGAAAACCCACCCACGCTCCTTCCTGGGTGTATCTGTCATTACCTTTGCCATGCCTCACCAACATTACACTCAAGGTTCTTCAGCCTTCCAATATGGTCTCAATATAAAGAACAACGGGGGGAGGTCCTATATCTTCAGTGCGGAGACATCCAATTTCACGGACTGAGTAGCCACTGAGTTCTTTGCCTCCAAAGAATACTGATGGCTGTTTTTTAATACCCAGCACCTATGCACCTGTCATACAAGCCAGTCTAAATAAATCCTATTTCTTTCTCTGTCAATCTGTCTATCTGTCTCTAATGTAGTAAATGTATCACTAAAACTTGGATTCATTGAGGATTTTCTGGTTACTTCCCATGCAGTCAATGAGAACTGTCTCTTGGTTACTCAGTAAAAGTCAAATATCAGAAAAAGAACAAGGCCCTAGGAGTACAAGGAAAAACCCAGCCTGTTGTTTTTTGGTTTTTTTTTCTTGTGTGTCTGTGTGGTTATGACGGAATTTTTTGTAAATGTACCACATTTCATCTTTATCCGCTCCTTGGTTGAGGGACATCTAGGTTGTTTCCAAGCTGCTATGAACATAGTTGAGCAAGTGTCCTTACGGTATGATTGAACATCATTTGGGTATATGCCCAAGAGTGGTGCAGCTGGGTCTTGTGGTAGATTGGTTCCCAGTTTTCTGAGAAATTGCCACACTGACTTCCAAAGTGGTTGTACAAGTTTGCACTCCCACCAGCAATGGAAAAGTGTTTCCCTTGCTCCACATCCTCTCCTGCATAAGTTGCCACTTGTTTTTATCTTAGCCATTCTGACAGATGTAAGATGGAATCTCAGAGCCATTTTGATTTTCATTTCCCTGATGGCTAAGGATGTTGAACATCTACTTAAGTGTTTCTCTGCCATTTGATATTCTTCTGTTGAGAATTCTCTGTTTAGATCTGTACCCCATTTTTTTAAATAGGTTGTAACCAGGCAAGACTTCAAGTGGATGGAGGGGGAAACCAACCCCTCCACATAACCTTCAGCTTATAGTCTATAAGACTATAAGATGTGCTGGAGTAAAAGTGGCCTAAATATTGAGGGAGTGGTCAGCCAATGCCCAATCTAGCCTAAAACCCATGCCAGGAGAGTAAGCCCATCTCTGGCACTGCCTGGAGCATCAGGACCTACAGGTTAAATGACCCAAAGACCTAGGATAGAACCAAACAAACAACTGGAGGGGGGAAATGTCGATGTAATGATGCCTAAAGATATTCTGCTATACTCATAGATTGGTACCTAGCCCAATTGTCATGAGAAAGGCTTCATCCATCAGTTGACGGAAAGAAATGCAGACCCACAGCCAAACATTACGAGGAGTTCCTGGACTCCTACAGAAAAGGGAGACAAAGGATTGTAGGAGCCGAAGGAGCCAAGGACACCACTAGAAAACTCACAGAATCAACTAACCTAGGTTCTTAGGGACTCGAGGAGACTGAAACGACAACCAGAATCTGCATGGGACTGACCTAGGCCCTCTGCATATATGTTACAGTCCTGTAGCGTGGTCTACTACACGCTTTGTGGGACTCCTAAAAGCGGAACAGGGGTTGTCTCTGACTCTTTTACTGGCTTTTGGAACCCTACTATCATACTGGGTCACCTAGCCCAGCCTTAATACATGGGGAGGTGCTTAGTCTTACTGCAACTTGATATGCCGTGTTTTGTTGATATCCATGAGAGATCTGCCCTTTCCTAAACAAAAAGCTGAGCAGGGGTGGATTGAGGGATAGGAAGGGTGGGGCAGACTGGGAGGAGAGAAGGGTGGGGAAACTGCGGCCTGGATGTAAAATTAATTATTTATTTTAAAGAACTTTTTTAACGACTACTTGTGATCAGGACTCTTCGGCTCCGTCAGTCAATAAGTATCATTTCTGACTCTGAAACTAGTTTGTTGCAATGAGGAGCTACCTGGGAAGTATGGAAGGTCGAGTGGGCCAGGAAAACCAGTAGCGTTTATTAATAATTTTGCTTTAGTATCTGAAACCTGGAGCCATGGTCGCCTACATGTCTTCCAGGAAAACGCGCTTTCCAACGTGTAAATGTGCCATCGACACTCAAGCCGGGACACAAATCCAAAGCAGGCAGAGGTCCTAGGCTGCTGAATTCAGTAAAGTGACAAGTTAACAGCCAATCAGGCCGCTCTTCGTGCAGAAGTAGGCTGGAGCAGGCCCGGGCCTGTGGTTCGTCGGTTCCGGCGCTGTGGGCGGGTCCTGGAGCTCTGCGGAAGCCGCCGGGTGCTGTCGCTGCCTAGGTCGCCGCTGCCTGCTGCTGTGGTCGGCGGCTTCCCGCAGGTGAGCGCCCTGCTGCGCCTGAGGCTGCGGCCTGGGCCGCTGGAGCCCCGCATCCCCACTGCTGGTTTCGCTGAGCAGAGAGAAGGGAGGCGACAGCTGGGGATCTTTGGAAGACACAGGTCCTGCACTCCTTACCCAGCCCACTGCCCTGGGGACCTGCCCAGTCCCGAAGGTTAAGAAGGCCCTGTCCGCCACCCTCCCTGACCTTCGGATGCCCGAGTCTGGGCCCTCGTGCTTCTTCTACCCCAACTTCCCGGTTATAGCCAGGCTCCTTCCCCTCCCTAGGCACTATGGAAACACCCGGTGGGTGCAACATTCTGACTTTGTCAGAGGACTTGTCATCTACCAAGTTCATGCTGGAGAACCGCACGATACAGAAAAACCGCATAAAGAAAATTAAGTTTATAGTTTTGTGTTGGGCTATATTCCTAGCTGTCCTCTGCAGCAAGTTGAGCAAGCCTGAGCGGTTAATAATTTTAAGACTTGACCAAGTAATGTCTGTGTGACAAAAGAGCGTTAAAGCAGATCTTCTGTTAGAGAACCACATCTGTTTATCCCCAGATCTTTGACAGCTCTCTCATGTTTACATCTTTTTGAAGCCATGTGTAGAAATAACATGCTTCCACCACTTTTCATGACTTACCATTTCTCTTGCTTTGCCACGCTTTCCTACAGCCAGTATCTTGCAAATTTTCAACTGCTGCTTTTGGTTCTTATGTCGTTCTTTGTGCTTGGCACTCACATATGTGCACACATACATACACTCTGCCTTAGATGAAGATATTAACACTTCTACTATCAGCCGGATCTCAACATTTACATTTAATTCTCATGAGTTTCACAGACATTGAGGCACTGTTCTTGGTATCAAGAATACAATGAACAAAAACGGAAAATGCCTCTGTAATTTAAATTTATCATGGCATTAGGAATATTGTGAAAAAAAGATATGGATAGTCGATCTTCAGTGTGAGAATTAAACAGTAGGATCATGGAAACAGTTCCAGTTAGAACAGCATGACCCCAAATAGGACAAAATGAGCAGGTATGGGTCCAGGATTCCTCCAATAGAACTTACATGTGGCTTGCAATGAAGCACCATAGGCCTTTGAGTTCGGTATTTGCAGAACTGAATCTTAGAGTTCTGGATCTCATGGTTTGGTGGTGACAGTAGAAGCAGAAGCAGGGAAAATGGTGAGAAGGAATAACCTGCTGATAGCCTGGATCTCAGTCCTACAGATTTTCTGTCCTGGTTCCTCCAAAATGCCTTCTGCAAGACTAAATACAGCGATTTCTTCTGCTTTTGAGTTTGTCTTATACCCTGAAGCTGGAGAAGATAGGTGGTATTCCCAAAGTAGGATAATAGAAACCTGGCCCAAGCACATGCAAAATGAGAACACTAATAGTTTCTGTCCTGGATTGTGAAATAAACCAACATTATCCATGTAAAGTACACAGAGCCATGCCTGGCACATAGTAGATACTCAAGATGTTTCCTATTATTTTGCTTTATTTTCAGTTACCTAATAATCTATAAAAAGCATCTGGGGTTTAGGAATTGTCTACTGACCCTAATGGAGTCATTTGGCAGGCATGTATTCAGCAATTATTTGCCTGGTAGACACTATTTAGGTCCTGGAGATGCAGCAGTATTTAAAGCCAATATGAATCTTCCCTTTACAGATCCTATCTAGGAGCACAAACTTACAAGGTGAGTTAGTAAATATTACCAAGGATGCCAAGAATCCTATCACTGGCCAGTCAAGCCCCATACACACATGTGGCCTGGGCAAAAATCATCTGTATACATCATATAGCCTTACATGATCGTGGCTTTTTGTCTTCTGAGAGATGTTATTTCCCCTCTGCCTCTAACATGCAACACTGCATTCGAGGAAAGTGTCATTATGGTGGTGAACCATGAGACTGTGATGCCAGAGAGGCAGATAGTGATTTACAGGACACGGTGAAAGAACTGCAATCGCACTTTCATGTTACACTTCAGTGTGCAACCTAAGAAAAACTGATCATATAAACAGCGAGCATATAACTGTACACAAAAAGTATCACAGAGGAAGGTTGACAGTGCACTTTCATGTTACACTTCAGTGTGCAACCTAAGAAAAACTGAGCATATAAGCAGCGAGCATATAACTGTACACAAAAAGTATCACAGAGGAAGGTTGACAGTATTTTGTGGCCTTTTTCTGGATGTTGGATCATCACATTTTTTTATTAACTTGCCCTAGTCCAAGAGAGACTATGTTGATTTCCATAGCATGATTAGAGTGGGAATGGCAGGGAAGAATAAACTCAGGAGAATCAGAATTGAACAAATAAATGAAAAAGAATTCTCCAAATCCACTTTCTTAATTACTCCTACCCTGATTGTGCCTTCTGTGGTGGGAACAGTGTTACCCAGTAATAACTTCAGTGGAGGCCGATGTGTATTATATATAGCCAGTGGAGGTTCTAAGTGTATTTTTATCAATCACCTTTTCCTCTTGTTTCTCTTGTTTTTATTTTATTCTTTGCAGTCTTCATTCATGTTCTGAGACTGTTGTCAGATGGAACCATGGATCCTGCAGCATTAGTAGAAGCCATTGTGGAAGAAGTGAACTGTCCCATCTGTATGACCTTCCTCAGGGAGCCTGTGAGCATCAGCTGTGGCCACACTTTCTGCCACAGCTGTCTGTCTGGACTCTGGAAGCTCTCAGGAGAATCCCAGGACTGGGGCTACACCTGTCCCCTCTGTCGAGCTCCTGTGCAGCCAAGGAAACTACGTCCCAATTGGCAGCTGGCCAGTGTTGTAGATAAGGTCCGTCTGCTAGGGTTCTGTGTGGAAATGGGGCTGAAGACTGATGTGTGTACTCTCCACAAGGAACCGCTAACGATGTTCTGCAAAGAGGATGACGTGGTAACCTGCAAGGCTTGTAACCAGTCCCCAGCGCATGAAGCCCACAGTGTTGTGCCCGTAAAGGATGTTGCCTGGGAATATAAGGTAGGCAACAGAACATGGCCATGCCAGTCTTTCCTCTGCCTCTCATCTGGCTGTCTCTGTATCAGAAGCCTATCTTGGAGAGCTGATCCCCTAGGCCCCTAATGGCTACAGATCCTTGCATCTAATATTCTGAGCTACATCTTTCCCTTTATTCATGGCCTTAGATTTTCTTCTCTCCCATTTCCTCTGCATCCCATCTCAAGCCTTAACTTGAGGATGCCTAACCATAAGGATGAGTTAGTTTAGTGTTGAGAACTTGAAGCAGACCCTTGGTTTCCATTGGAGTTCTACATGGCTTGAATGAGTTTACATATGATGACTGTTATTTATTAGTCAAGGACCTGATAACTTGCCCCAGCTAGGGCCACATATAGTTACTTGACATTGGCTGAATCATTTTAATCTCTTCATTTACTCAGGCTTAGTAATTTTGGATCATGATACATTATTCTGGAGCTGGAAAGGACCATAGATGAGTCCCTTAGGATTGATTCTCCAACTGCCGGACAATGCTCACATACTCAAAATGCATTAATACTCATAGTATCCATATTATCAGGTCTTTTCTGACTTTAGATTAAATTAAAGAGAGATAAAAGTCTAGAATAGAGACCTTGTTCTTTGTCTAAGGCTCTGTTCCCACACTTTGGGATAATCCATCTCTGTTGCCCTGCTTGTTTGTCTTCACCACTGTGATTGGCCTCCCTTGCTCTTTTCTCAGATGTGCATGAGTGATCTTGTTCTGTCTTAATTCTATTTCTTTGGGTTAGGATTAGAATGTAAGACTATGTGGTAAATCCTCTAAATAAGTGATTTTCTCTACAGGACAAATATCCAAAACATAAAAAATGTGTTTATGTTTCATTTTGTTTTGAGAGTTTTAGAACAAGGAGGCGGTTTAGCATTCTGACATGGAGGTTAAGATCTTGGTTAATTCCCAGCCCTGTCATTTACTAGCTGGGTGACTTTGGATGGGTCACTTTTTGAGCCTCAGTTTTCTTATCTATAAAATGATGATGACACCAACATCTGGGGAGTGTATTTGTAGTAGTTATTTTTCTATTGCTGTCATCAAATACCTGACAAGGAGTCAGGTAAGGGAGAAGAGGTTCATTTTGGCTCATAGTTCAAAGGGACATAGGGCATCAGGGTGGGAAAATCACAGTGGCAAGAGAAATTGGCGACTGGTCACATGACATCTATAGTTAGGAAGAATGAACAGGAAGTGAGACCAGGGCATAATACCTCAAGGTTTGCCCCACAGTGATCTGCTTTCTTCATCCAGGCTCTACCTCTTAAAGTTTCCTACAAGCTTTCCAAGCACCATCAGCAGCTAAGGATAAGGTCTTCAAACACATGAATCTGTGTAGGATGTTTCACATTCTAACCCCAGCAGTGTTGGTGTATGTGTAATGCTTGAAGATTCAAGATTCTGCTATGCTGATTCTCCTGGACTTGGACCACACTTTCAGCAGCAAGGTTCTGGGACCTAATAGGAAAGAAAATTAATGAAAATAAAACAGTCCTGGGTAGGAAAATGCATAGTCTTCATTTCCTAGAAAGTATGACTATAGACCTTTACAGATGCTTGGGAACTATGGGAGTTAAGATGATTCTCAAACCAAAGAGTTTCCCTGAGTGTCCCATAGACAATCTGTGCCTTCTATGGCATTCTGTTTTCTCTTAGTATTTATTCAAGCCTGTTGCCTGAGGAACATTGATCATTCTCATGAGCTTCCTGTCTCTTGCAGTGGAAACTCCAGGAGGCTCTGGGACTTCTCAGGAAAGGACAGGAAGAAGCCTGGAAGCTGGAAGTCAGAGAGAAGGAACAAGCTGCCAGATGGAAGGCAGGTCTCACTTGATAAAGGGGCTCATGCCATCCTTCTCTTCCACTGCTGACAGTGGAGGCATCCTCACATCTGTGAAGCAGAGCCTTCAGTTTTCCCTTTACTTAAGATCACATAACTTCTCAGGTCCAGCTTATAGGTTGTGAGGAAGCAGTTACCTTATGTCTCTATGTGTGAGAAAAGAACAGTAATGTGCACTCATGAGCTCAGGGGTTGTGGCTTGTTGGGTGGCAGGCAAGAACAGTTTCTGTTTCACTTTGCTGAGTGATAGCATAGCTGCTAAGACTTTAGAAAACCACCTCTGAAATACATTTGAAGTCAATAGGCATAAAACTCTCAGAACTCTTGATCAAGAGACAGTAACCTCACAGTGGGCTAAAATGATACAGTAAGCATAAAAACATCAATGAGAAGAAAAACTACCCAACAGTGTAGTTAATGTCCTTAGTAACCATCAGTGAAACCTTCCTGCTCTTATTCTGAAAACGGAAGGTAGTCCACATCTTATCATATCAACATGATACCCTGTACTAGAATGGTGGTGCACACCTATAAACCAGCCCTTGAGAGGTAGAGAATTGCTACAACTTTAAGTCCTACCTGGTCTGTAACAATGTAGTGGAACTGTATACTGGAACCCTGTCTCAAGAAAAAAAGAAAGGTAATACCCTAGATCCTACTGGAGCTGATAAGAGTAGAACAGATTAAATGTCACTCATCCAGAAATGTGAAATCCAAAATGCTCCAAAATCCAAAGTGTCTTATAACCAACATGGTACCAAAAGTAGAAGAATATTACATGAATTCTAATTGGTCCTAATAAAAACCCCATGTCAGACATAGGGGTAAATGGTGAAAGATCAAAGAAGCAGAGCAGCAGCCATTAGTTCTTACCCCTACTGAATTCTCAGACCAAAGGGGCCATCCTGTCCCTACAATCCTCAAACTGAATGCTCCATCTTGCCTGTAGGAATCCTCAGACTGAATGCCTTGAGCTCCTGACACCTCCTGCCTTATATTCCTCTCTCAGCCCAGCCATATCACTCCTGCCTCCACCTCCCTAGTGCTAGGATTATAGGCATGTGACCCCCAAGTACTGGGATTAGAGGTGTCAGTCACCACTGCCTGGCCTCTATGACCAACTAGTGGCTAGCTCCATACTCTGATCTTCAGGAAAGCTTTATTTGTTAAAGCACAAACAAAATATCACCACAGAAGAAAGTTCCACTTACTTATAGGTCACATTCAGAATGCAAGCAGACTAAAATTATTTTATAAAATTACCTTCAGGTTATATGTGCAAGATATATAGGAAGAATAAGTGAAATTCATGTTCAGACTTGGATCTCACTGCCAAAATGTTTCTTTATTCACATATGATCTCAAAATTCCAAGTCTTAAATACCCTGGTCCCATGTAAGAAATTACTCTACCTATGAAAAGGACCAAAAATGGTACTCTGAGGATATGTGGAGTCAGGAAGATAGGAAGATTGGGTCCTTTGTCTTTCCCTTCATAGCACCCAGTACATGGTCATACCAAAGCATTTTGATAGTGTGTGTATTTCCACATGTTAGTGTCCTCCATTCCATGTGACCCTTACGCTGAGAGGATCAGTGCTAATCCCATCTTGACTCCACAGACACAGATGGAAATACGAAAGCAGAGCATCCTCTGGGAGTTTGAAAAATATCAGCAGTTATTAAAGGAAAAAGAACTGCCGTGTGCGCAGGTGGAAGAGGAGGCAGCTGCAGCTCAGGCTAGCCTAGAGCAGGAGGAGAGAGAGACACTAAACAAACTGGAGTTGAGACACGAGAAGATCATCCAGCAGAGCCAGGTCCTATGGAGGATGATCGTGGAGCTGGAAGAGAGATCCCAGAGACCTGTACGCTGGATGGTGCAGGTGAGTAGCATCCTTTCCTGGCACACCTGAGTGAGAACTGAAGATGGACTGGGACTCCAGGGGAAAGTGTTCACTAGTTCTTCACAGGCCTATCATCATAGTGCCCACCAGCTGAGGGTCCCATAGCCTCTGTCCTTTTTCTGATAGGGTAAATGACCTGACTATTAATAGTCTCATAAGACAGACCATCCACCCAGCAAGGAATAGAAGGACATCAGTTGCTTACTCTGATATCTGACAGCATTTCAGTCCCTTCTATCCTGGCCATCTCAAAATGGAGCTTGAAGTTGTTCAGCCAGGCCAAGTCCACTCAGCTGTCCTCCCATCAGCTAGCTTCTCCCCAGCCTCTGTGTCTGTCTACCCTCTGAGGCACATCACTCTCATGGGCTGCATTGTTTTCTCCTTCTAGGGTATTCAGGAAGCTTTAAACAGGTATGTTCCCATCCTCAGAGCCTCTGGGGCACTCTACAGGGGATAGAGAGGCCTGGCCAGAGCCACAAATGGAGAAGGAATAGACTGAATACCTACAGAAAGCAGATGCTGACTCACCATCTTACTTACTTTATATTGGATAAAGAAGATTTGTTGGCCTCTCCTATCTTGCATCTAATCAAATTCATTCCAGGTATTACCAGTAAGAATTTAAGTAAAGCTGAAGTATGTCGTTTCATGCAAATAGTCTGAGAAGATGCCACATGCGAGTCTCAGCTCAGAGTATCGGCCTTTCTCCTTGGCTATAGATAGCTTGTGAGTCCAGCTCACAAAACAATCTTCCAAGGTTCAGGGCAGATGCTATAGCTTAGTGAAGGGAACTTAGAAAATTTCTCATCTAAGGGGTATGGAATGAACTCACACACGTGCTGTTTGAGTCACGTTCTTTATTCTTCTGCTGGCTCTAATTCTACCTCTGCAGCTTCTAGTTCTTTGTTTCAATTCTCTGTTACAACTCCCTCTGCTTCTCTGTTCCTCTAGCCTAAATTCACTTTTTTTTTTACAGAAGGCTGAAGCAATAATTTAAAAAAATTACAGGAGTTACATTTCATTGGTCAAAAGCACATGCCTTTGGGTGAGCGATAAGGGCAGAGCCCTTTACCATGGCAATGCAAAATTTCAAGGTTTCTGGAGGAAGACTGTGACCAAAGGGTGAGGGTGCAGTGCCCAGTGAGATAAACTATGAGATATAGTTCTTTCATCAGCTAGACTTGGCAAACGAAGAACTGGCATGATTTCTTAGGCTTCTTTGTGTTAATAACCTTGGTTAGACACCTGTGACTCTGACCTGATGCATAACTGTAAAGTTTTAAACTCATGATAGAATTACAAAAACCTTTAGTCTAGTTTGAACTTGCTCTGAGGTAAAAGTAAGCTAATTGTGTGAAGTTTGCCATAGACTGAGGAGAAATTGTTGTTTTCTGATATTAGTCTGAGTAAAAGGAACAAAAAGGCTTTTAAGTGCTTCACAGTCCTCGTGGGACAATAGATCTAGTTATGAAGCATGTCCTAGTATATTTTCTATATATCAAATGGAAATACACAGTTAATGAGAAGTCATCTTCCTGATCATCCACAGCTATATGTGTGCCCAGTAGACAGAATATTTTCGTGAGATACACACACAGGCAATGGGAAAACACCCAAAACTATTCTTAGGGAAGAAATGAAGTAACTCATGAGAGAAATTACAAACAGAAACAGTTATCTGCAGCCAGTGACCCCATGGACATGCCAGGTGGAGTTCTCCATCAGAGAATCACTCATCTGGTAGGTTGGCCTGTTGAACACTAGTTGTCACCTGCTGTATATTCCCATGGCCTCCAACACTTGGTGACAAATCTCTTTCTCTTCTTCTATCCTAATACTTAACCTTTCCCACAACAGGAAGTTGTAAGTACCTTTTTTTGCAGTTTTTTATTTGAGTTAGAAACAAGATTGTCTTACATGACAATCCCAGTTCCCTTCTCCTTCCCATCCTCCTCTACCACCAACCCCCAACTAAAACCCTACCTATCACATATCCTTTCTGCTCCCCCTGGATGGTGAGGCCTTCCATAGGGTGTCATCAGAGAGTTGTAAGTATTCTTAACTCTCTGTCATGAATGATTTAAAACTCAACAAGTCAGCTATCCCACCTCAGCTTTGATGAGCAGGAGAATCTAACTGACTGGCTGTGGCCAAGCCACTCTTCCCTGGACTAAGGAAGGAAAGGATGCTTTGTGGGGAAGAGCTCAGACTGCTGAATCCAAAACACACCCTCTTCTGCAGGAGCAAATCTTGGAGCTTTCAGCAGCCAGAGCCAATCTCCTTGGAGCTAAAGACAGGTTGTTGTGTGCCAGGACTAAGAGAGATCCTAAAGACATATGCAGGTATTGGATGCCTAGGGATTGGGATGGGCAGTGGGAGGGACTTCACCCCTAGAAGTAAAATGACTCAGTGTTATCTGGGTGTCTCATCTAGCCCCATCCCACCCATCACTAAGAACTCTGTCTTCATCAGGGTACCTACACCCTCCAACACTCCCCCTTGTTTGGCATCAGTGTTAATACCAGAATCTTTTTTCCTAGTGGATGTGCGCCTAGATCCAGACACAGCTTACTCCCGCCTTGTCGTGTCCAAGGACAGAAAAAGTGTGCACTATGGAGACACCCAACAGAACCTGCCTGACAATCCTGAGAGATTTTATCGCTATAACATTGTCTTGGGCAGCCAGTGCATCTCCTCAGGCCGGCACTATTGGGAGGTAGAGGTTGGCAACAGGTCTGAATGGGGCCTGGGAGTATGTATGGAAAATGTAGATCGGAAGGAGGTGGTCTATTTATCCCCCCACTATGGCTTCTGGGTGATAAGACTGAGGAAGGGAACAGAGTACCGGGCAGGCACTGATGAATACCCCCTCTTGCCCTTGTCAGTCCCTCCACACCGAGTAGGAATCTTCCTAGATTATGAGGCCCATGACATCTCCTTCTACAATGTGACTGATGATGGCTCCCACATCTTTACTTTCCCCCATTATCCCTTCCCTGGCCGCCTCCTGCCCTATTTTAGTCCTTGCTACAGCATTGCCACCAACAACACCACTCCCCTCACCATTTGTTCCCTGGTTGGGGAAGACTAGGAGAGATACCATACTAAGCCAATGTTGGAATTTGGCCTGGTACACAGGACTGCTGGAGAGTTCTTCCATTAATAAGCATACCCCTGAACCCAGCTTAGTACCTAGAGATCCTTCTACCTGACCTCACGGTACCTTGCCTTTAGGCCAAACTGTTAGTACCGCTCACAAAAAAAGCAGTCCAGTCAGATAAGCATTGTGACCCATGATGGAAACATGACAGAGATGATGGGCTTTGTCTACTCTGGAGGTTACAATTCCTCACTGGTTCCATAACTAAGTGTGTGCCAATGAGGAAATGATTGCATGCTCCAGAAAAGCTTTTAAATAGGGTTTCCAGTGAGACAAAATAAGAGTGCACCTGTCCAGAGTTGACTGCCATGGTGAAAGGGTGCTTCACCTGAGACTTGCTGTTACCAAACAAACCCTGAGCCCCAGACTTGAGAAACACACAATCTGTGCTCTCCCAGCACGGAGTGCAGACCTCACCCAGGATACTTAGTGCATCACCTCCCTGAGCTTGGGGTTGGGGGGAGGTCTGTGTCCTGGGACTGTCTTTTCTCTAAGAAGCAGGATCAGAAAAGTTGGGGTCCTTAGTTTTTATTTTTTACTTTATGGATGAAGAAACTGAAACAGCCTTAAGTTGTTTCCTACAGGGAGTGGGAGGTAAGATTTTAAAGGTTGTAAATGATTTTCACATTCAAAGGAAATAGAGTTGACAACTCACAGATCACAAGTCCCAGTGACTCATTACATTCGGGTCTGAAACATGTTTGAGAGGATTTGTGTGACCTTTTTGGAAAAGTGGCTCTAATCTGGCTTAAAATAACATGTCCTTCTACCTCACCAATTCATTGTAAAATCACAAAATCCACCCCATACTTTTGTTCTCTGTAGAGAAGGGAGGGCAAACAATGGATTCTGCACATGGCAACCATCCCCCTTTGCTGTATGCAGCCAGAGCCTTCAGAGCAGCATGTTTCTTCCTTATGGTCCCTCCCAACAGCCTAGAGCCCTTTGAACAAAAAGATGGCCATGTCACACTGTGTCACAAGGGTACACTGACACTTGTCCACAGAGGTATGTTGTATATCCGATTACATGTGTTTGTCTCTGGCTTAGAGTGAGGTCTGTCAAAATAGAAAGCAAGATAATAGCAAGGAAGATGAAATAAAGTCATCAGGAAGGAAGGAGAGCCCATTCAGCAGCTAGCTAGTATTAAATTGGAAGCTAGCTGGTGTTAAATTGGGATCTTCAGACGCCACCAAAGAGATCAACTTGGTTCATGTTATCATGTATAACAATTCTCTTTAAGATGTAGGAGAGAAAAAATGTGTGGAGAGAACCATACTAAACAAAAGCCAACTTAGGAGTCAGATGAAAGGAATAATAAAAAGGAAGTAAAATTGTATACTGAACTGTTGGTTTACAGTGGTTGTTATGTCAGGGAAAGTTATACAAAAATGGCCCAAAAGTAACAAAATTGGCATGTGACAAAATTGGCTCTGTCTATGGGAAGGGACCAATTGTGTGTTGCTTCCATGTTCCCAGGTTTGTATTTTATTGCACATACAATTTAAATGAAATTATTAAACATATCAGACTATTTCAGTCATCCTATATCCATAGCATTCTCACTAAAAATTGAAATTTTATGCAAGCATAGTGTTTACAGCGTCATACAGTCTAGCCTCATTCATCTTTAAAACATTGTGCACTCGTCTAGGGAACTAAATAGTAGAGCTTTATGTTCACGAACCTTTTCTAAGGAAGCACGTCAGCAACATCTTCATCCTCTCCCGGATCTGCTTGGTCCTAATACCATAAATGACAGGGTTTAAGGTAGGTGGGATAATCAGATACAAGTCAGCTAACAACACTTGAGTGTGCATCGGAACTACATCGTGCCATAACCATGCTATATATATGGATGCCATCCCAGGGAGATAGAATAGACACATAACTCCCACATGAGAGCCGCATGTGCTTAATGCCTTCCTCTGTGCATTCTTTGAGGACAGACCAAATACTGCCCTGAGAATCAAAATATAGGAGGCAGCAATGAAGACCGTATCAGAGCCCACAATAATAGAAGAACAAATCAAGCTATACAAACTGGTGGGCGTGGGGTCTGCACATACTAACTTGGCCACAGCCATGTGTTCACAGTAAGAATGGAAAACTACATTGGAACCACAGAAAGGCAAGTGACTCAACATCCAACTTAATGGAGTCACAGAAATGACAGCTCTACTGATGATAGTCACACATAATCCCAGCATCAATTTAGGTTTGAGAATTCGTTTGTAGTGTAGGGGCTTGCAGATGGCCACATAGCGATCAAAAGCCATGGCCAGTAGCAGCCCTGTCTCCACAGCTGTGGCTGCGTGGATAAAGTACATCTGAGTGAAGCAGGCATTAAAGCTGATGGAGCTGTCTCCTGAGCTGAAGATGCTCACCATCTTAGGTACCACAGAAGAAGCCATAACAATGTCCACAGCAGCCAAAACACATAGAAAGAAGTACATGGGCTCTTGTAGAGTGGAATCTGTGCAGATCACAGTAATGATGAGGGTGTTTCCTAAGAGGGCTGTGCTGTACATAGCACTAAATGAGATGGCCAGCCCGAGATAGGAAGACTGCAAACCTGGGATGCCCACGAGGAGGAAGGTGGCAGGAGATTCCATTGTGTGGTTGTAGGATGGTCCTGACATCATAGGTGAGATGGGCTTTCTGTTACAATATAAAGTGATGGAAGATGAGAGGATGGAGTGCCACCAGATGTGTTCCTCTCTGTGGTACAGGCAAATCTGAGTGTCGAGGCAGTGTTTTCCAAATCAGAAAACACAAATTAAACCATTTTGCTCCATTTCCCATGCTCATCAAGATTGTCTGTGTTAACGGAGTCGACTCATTGGTCAGATCATCTGTTGATTTTCCTCCTTTAGGAAGTCTGTGGCCTTTCTCCTCTCACATTGCATGAAGAGGCAAAGTTAGAAACCTTTCTCATAAAATTTCTCAGAATGACTAGAAAAGATATGAACTGGCAGTCCTAATGCTCTACCTCAGTCTCTCTTGTATTTTCTAGTGGGTGACTCTTGTTCAAGTGGTATCATTGTCAGAAGATGTTGGTTGATCTTCAGGGTAAAACCTAGAGTTTTTCCTAGAATCTGAAACAAAGCTCTATGTGCTTCTTTTGCCCTGCTGCAGAAAGAGAAGGAACTAATTATATTGCTTCTAGAGTCACACCCCACAACTAAAAACATCATTGTATCACTTACTACCTGTTTTTCCCTTGGTCATATCATGTAAACTTTCTGTGCCTTAATTTGATCATTGGTGTTTTGAAATTTAAATGGAAGACTAATATAAAGTACTAAGTTTTCAAATTTTTCAGCAAATTTTAAAATGAGCTTCAGTTTCTCTGCTTAACCTTTTAACTCCAGATCACCCTAAGAACATACATAAGTAAGTACAACAGAGACTAAATTAAAAATAACTAAATCCACCAGCAGTGGTGGCACATGCCTTTAATCCCATCATTAGGGAGGCAGAAGCAGGTGGATCTCTGAGTCAGAGACCAATCTGGTCTACAGAATAATTTCCAAGACATCAGGGCTACATAGGGAAACCCTGTCTTTTAGAAAGAAAGAAAGAAAGAAAGAAAGAAAGAAAGAAAGAAAGAAAGAAAGAAAGAAAGAAAGAAAGAAAGAAAGAAGGAAGGAAGGAAGGAAGGAAGGAAGGAAGGAAGGAGAGGAGGAGGGAGGGAGGGAGCGAGGGAAGGAGGGAAAAACAAAGAAACAAACAAAGAAAACAAGACCTAAATCCACCAACACAACACCCATTCCCTATTCTCTTAAGGTTTTCAGTTGTCCTACCACAATCAGCCACTGAGGTTTTCCCATAGAGTTGGCTTAACTGCCAATATAATTTTAGAATGCAATGAAGAGCTCAGTCTCTGTTCTTTTGTCAGCTCATTTAATATTTTTCTGTTATCAATTCTGTAAAAAAGAACTTTCTTATACTGTGTACAACTCTACCTCTAATTATAAAGCCTAAGAGTATGTCTATGGCTCTGATGTCATACAAACTACTGATAACAAAATGGAGTTGCATTCAGAATCAGAATGGATGTGGCAAGCATATTTTAGTAGGCTACATTCCTGCCTCAGCATATTTTCTGACTGCTCCCAGATTATTCCTCTCTCCTGGGACATGCACAGGTAGCTGGACCTAAGAAATTAACTCAAGACTCTAACTGTGGAGTAGACCATATGAAGTCCCCCACCCTATCTCCTTAAGCCCACAGGGTCTGAATATTGATTGCATCCCCTGAGGCCTTAGCTTGGAGTGGCCATATCACCGACAAGACAGGTATTGGCTTGACAATATTCAAATGTAGCCGAAGAAGTGTTTCTTACATTTCCATTCAGCCTTCAATGAAAAGAACTTCTTTGCCAAGCCTCGAGACTAGTTAGTTTGAGTAGCTATCAAGACTTTTAGCCCCCAGTTAGTAAAGGTTAGAGCCTAAGGCATCTCATCCTTGGATTCTGACTTTACTTACCTCTCAATTCTCTCTCCTGAATGACTGGATAGGTCAGAATTGTGGGAGTCTGTTAGGGTCTCATATGCTAGAAAAGACATTTTCCATGTTACCCAAACATAAATCAAGCATTTACCTGGCTCTCCATCCTCACCACATGGTGTCCACTTGACTCCTGGAATGCTAGCTGACCCCACACTGGTGCAGAATCTTCAAGAGTTTTCTCAAGAACCAGGTTTCTAAGACTTGATATTCACATTTGGGGTTTTTTTGGGGGGGAACCATGAAAGAAAAAACCTGCATAATAGTAAATGTTGTTACTAAGACTGAACTAAATAGCAAGTTCCATGTCACAGCCAAATAAAATCCATGCTGTATATAATCACAGAGTGAGACATCACTGACAGATGAGATAAGTACTGAGAAGAATTTCAAAGTGGAATTGAGAAGAAGAGTAAAATGTAAGCCTGAGTATCCCTGAGACCACAATCCATGTTTGGGGCCGAGCTTCAGTGCCTATTGATTTGAAGAAAGCTGAAGGATCCAGAATTTGCACACCCGTTCACCTCTGACCCAGAAGCTGCTCTATATAAACTCGCCTTTCATCTGAGGGCACCCTCACCTTGTGCCCTGCTCCACCTTCCTGTCTCCAGTGCTGAAAAACCTCACCTCATAACTCTCCAGATGCTCACAATGGTTCGGCATTGCTAGAGATGCATTTAGTCTTTTCAAAATAAGGAAGCACTGGTTCTTAATTAACTGTCTCTTCTTTGAAATATTTAATTTTTCTCAAGAACATCAATAGTGACCTCCATTAAAGATCTGTTGTGAATCCAGTAACTTCTTAAGCATCATTTCCTGCATGCTTATTTTTCAATTAGCTCTTTGGACCACTCAAAACACATGCTATAAGATACAGAAATCTAAGGTGTCAAGGTTATACTATCACACACTGCTTCCTGCAGTGTGAATTCTTTCAGGAAAGCCTCAGCCCAAATCTCCTGAGACACTCTTCCAGCCTTGCATTGGTCCCTTCAGCCCTGAAGATGCACTTAATGTCTGGAGGGCTCATCACTGAAAAGTGGCCTAGGCAAATCATTTAACATCCATAAGTAAATCATAGGATGTGAGATGATATTTTATTCCAAATCAAAGGATGGAGGGATGCATAATTAATGTACTATCCGGATGAAAGCAGTACTGAATGCGTCCCTGGATACAGCCTTGCTGCCTGTGATACCCTCATATCCTACCTAAGTGCCTCTGTCAAAACACAATCTCACTCTGCCCTGTGGCCATCTATTTTTCTCCAAGCAAATCTTGGTCCCTAAACCATTCCAGTGTTGCTCTTACCTTTTCATGTCTCTGCTTTGAACACAAGTAACCCTATATACCTATTCCTTCTCTCATGTCTGCCATCCCTTAAATCATTTCCAGAGAAAACTATAGGTGTCCATAATGCCCAGACTTGACCAGCCCCTTTAACTGCTTGTATACTTAGATAGAGAGCTTGAATCCTCATTTCTGAGGTGACCCTAACCTCAAGACTCCTTAAGTCCAAACTCAGTTTCCTAATTTGGATAGAATTCCTCGTGTAACATTCATTCTCTGGTTAAGTATACCTACTATTCCACATTTCTCACACAAAATAGTATTTAGACTCATATAAGACCTTCGAGAGAAGCAGTAACATCACAGGAGTCACAGGAGATCAGAGACAATGGAGTTAGTATGAGTGTGGGCCTTTCCAAACATCCCCCACTGGGAGACTCCCTTTCCCATGAGCTTCTCAGTCACCTACTCTTCCCTGGACACCGCTGCTCTTGGCCTCTGCCCAGCAGCCAAACACTGAGACCCCTCCAGAGACTGGCTTTCTTTGTGCATAGTCCCTTGGGCATCCCAGACTGTGAGGAGTCAGGAGCCTGGAGAGTGAACAGTGTTTGTGTCTTCTAGCCCCCAGAGGATACCTAAACATTAGGCTAGTGATGCAGCACACATCTAAAAAGAAAAGCAAATGGTCCAAGTTTTATTTTTCCTTAGTGAACTAAGGAAATGAATTCTTTCACTCATTTATTTGTTTACTTATCTATTTATTTATTATGTATTTGTGGGCATGCCCATGCCATAGTCCATGTGTGAGGGTCACTCCTGAGAATTGAACTCAGGTTGTCAGGCATGACAGTAAGTGCCTTTACCCACTGAGCTATTATACCAGCCCTGATTACTTTTTAAATTCTTCAATATTCCAGAACCTCTAAGGCAGTGGTTTGTAACCTTCCTAATGCTACAACCCCTTAATATCGTTCCCCATGTTGTGGTGACCCCCAACCATAGCATTATTTTTGTTGCTACTTCATAATTATAATTTTGCTACTGTTATGAATCATAATTTAAATATCTTATATTTCTAGGTGTCTTAGGTGACCCCTGTGAAAGAGTCATTCAACCCCTAAAGGGGTCATTACCCACAGGTTGAGAACCACTGCTCTAATGGGTATTTTCCTAAGATTTCCTCTTAGTCCTCTGAAGGACTGCTGTCAATATACCCACATCTCATAGATGAACTTGAGATGCAAAGAAGTTCCCAAAGCATCTAAGATTAAGAAAGAAGCTGCAGATTCGACATCAAAACACATCTCACTGGTTTCATGCAGTTAGCACATCCATGTGATGATGCCATGAATGTGATTGTCAATAACTAACGCTTGGAGACCCTGATTTCTATTGTTTTTTTAATGTACCTGATATGGGATTGCTGCATCAGGTTAGCCCTGTTTTTCAAATTTCATAAATTTACCACATTACCCTATTACCACAGATGTTTTCTTATCACAATCTCTACCTACAGTGCAAAGGGGTTCCAGCTTATCCACATTTTGACCCAAAGTTGATTTTTACATTGGGGCACTGGTTTGGTTTGAGTTTTCATGATCATGCCTATAAGTCAAGTGTATTATCTCACTGTAGTTTATTTCTAATCTCTGTAATGATTAGTGACAAAGAGCATCTTCACATGTGTTAGCTTGTCATTTGTATATGGCCTTTACAGAAATGTCTTTTGCACTTTTTGAGTATCTAATTTTTGTTGTTGAATTATAGGATTTCATCATTTACTAGGTAAATAATTCTTATTACATATACAATTCTAATATATCTTCTTCCATCCTGTTTGGTGTCTTTGCATCCTATGTTGTCAAAATTATTTCTGTTCCTTGTGTGGTTAGATCTATCTATTTTTCACTTTTGCTGCCTACATTTTTGGAAGTCATATCCAAGAAATCTTTACAATGTTAAATGTTTTCTCTAGTTTCATGATTTTCAGTCTTCAACTAATTCTTTACATTTTTCAATTAATTTTTGCATATGGTGTAAGATAAGAGTCTCATCTAGTAGTTTTGAATTTGAATGTCCAGTGTTTGCAACACCACGACCAACGTCAGATCTATTAACCAAATATACCTCTGAGTATAGATCTGAGCTCCCTATTCTATTATTGTTCCGTCTTTATGTCAGTACTATACTGATCTTTCTTGATAGACTTAAAACTAAGGCTAATCAGAAGAGGTGAAAGACAGTTCATTCTAATCAAGGGAACAATTAACCAACTTGCTACTGCAGTTTCTCCTAGCACTTTGAATTTTAGTATCAGAGAATTAGCCTTACTAAGATTTGCAATTGCATTAAGAATCAAATATATTTGTGTGTGCTCTATGAAATTGTGTGGGTGTCAGAAGGGGATTGGACCCAGAGCATTATTCTCTACATCCCAGATTCTGAATTGGTTTCTTTTACTGTGCTTCAGATTTCTTTGTCCAATCCATTCATTAGAAATGGGCCAACACCATTGACCTTAAGTTTACATAAAATAAAATAAAATCTGTTTTAAGTGGAGGAGGTTTGTGCTCCAGGAATAAACACAGGAATCAAATAAAATGGATTCATTGCTGAGCCAGAGAACAAGATCTAGTTTCTACCACAATGTCATACAAGGGGAGGAACAAGAAAATTCTAGTAAGGGAAAAGGTGACAGACTAACTTTCATCAGCAGAGGGACTCAGGTTAGATTGGAATAGAGATTTTTAAAAAACAAAATAACACCCATTAGAGCAGTGGTTCTCAACCTGTGGGTCATGACCCCTTTCTATTTAGTTCTGTACCCCACTTTTTAATTGGATTGTTTGGTGTTTTGGAGACTAGCTTCTTGAGTTCTTTGTGTATTTTGGAGATCAGCCCTCTATCAGATGTGGAGTTGGTGAATATCTTTTCCCAGTCTGTGGGCTGCTGTTCTGTCTTGCTCACTGTGTCCTTTGACTTACAGAAGCTTCTCAGTTTCAGGAGGTCCCATTTATTAGTTGTTGATCTCAGTGTCTATGCTACTGGTGTTATGTTCAGGAAGCAGTCTCAAATTACGATCTGATAGCATTCCAAATCAATACACCAGAAAATATAATCACTTCTGTTAAACTCCAATGAGAAGTAGAAGTGTTCTTCAAGGACACTCTACACCTGTAAACCAGTCCATGTCCATAGATCTCAAAGTTAACTTGCAGTGGGCTGGAGCTCGAGGTATGAGAGGTATGTTCATGAACCTTGAGTGGACTGGTGAAAGAAGCAATGTATCAGCAGACTCCATATCCGCTCCCGGATCTGCTTGGTCCTAATACCATAAATGATAGGGTTTAGGGTGGGTGGGATAATCAGGTACAAGTCAGCTAACAACACCTGGGTGTGCAGAGGAACTTTGTCCTGCCCTAGCCAAGCTACATAGATGGATGCCATACCAGGGAGATAGTACAGTGCCATGACCCCTACATGAGAGCCACATGTGCTTAATGCCTTCCTCTGTGCATTCTTTGAGGACAGACCAAATACTGCCCTGAGGATCAAAGTATAAGAGGCAGAAATGAAGGCCACATCTGAACCCACAATGATGGAGGAAAAAATCAAACTGTAGAGACTGGTGGGCATGGGGTCAGCACATGTTAACTTGGCCACAGCCATGTGTTCACAATAGGAATGTGGAACTACATTGGAGCCACAGAAAGGCAAATGACTCAACATCCAACTCAACGGAGTCATGAAAATAACAGCTCTAATGGTGATAGTTATATTAATCCCCAGCATCACATGAGGGGTGAGAATTCTCATATAATGTAGGGGCTTGCAGATGGCCACATAGCGATCAAAAGCCATGGCCAGTAGCAGCCCTGTCTCCACAGCTGTGGCTGCGTGGATAAAGTACATCTGAGTGAAGCAGGCATTAAAGCTGATGGAGCTGTCTCCTGAGCTGAAGATGCTCACCATCTTAGGTACCACAGAAGAAGCCATAACAATGTCCACAGCAGCCAAAACACATAGAAAGAAGTACATGGGCTCTTGTAGAGTGGAATCTATGCAGATCACAATAATGATGAGGGTGTTTCCTAAGAGAGCTATGCTGTACATGGAACTCAATGAGATGGCCAGCCCGAGATAAGAAGACTGCAAACCTGGAATGCCCACAAGGAAGAAGGTAGCAGGAGATTCCATTGTGTGGTTGTAGGATGTAGCCAGCATCACTTGTCAGACTGTTAACCTATAAGGTACTGTAAGAGAACTAATATTTTTATAAAATTGATTCTTGTGTGTGTGTGAGATGCTCATAAATTGTTGGAGTATTTTCTTCTTGGTGGTATTTTCATGAGCTACAATAATTAACATATTTAAAAAGTAACCTTCCATTCTATACGGATTCTGTGCTTTGCCAATTTCTATTCACATCTCAAGGATCAACTCTTCAGTTTTTTCCCTTATAGCAATGTTCTCTTTGTCTCTGTCTCTTCTCTCACTCTTACTCTCCCTTCCCTCTCCCTTCCCTCTCCCTCCTCCCCCTTCCCACCTCCCTCTCCCTACTTACATACTTATTCCTATGTAAGTATCACATGTTCATTTTTAATTCAAGAATTCATGAAATAATTCATGTTTAACTTTAATGATTTCAAATTAATGATTCCAATAGTCTACCTATGGTTTATGATATACAGTCAAGCATGTATTATTTATTTGTAACTTTGTATAATCCTAGCCTGTGGAACAAAGTGCACAGCCTCAGCTCTGCCAATTAGCATCTGTATTAGTGGGCTAAGGGCCTTCATAATCTGGATCAGCCAAGGGGTCAGAAAGGACTAGAAGATAAAGCTACTCCGCTGTTTCCAATTTCATTCAACTGACACAGTCTACATGTAAAGTAAAATAAAGAGATCAGCAGCCTAGGGGAGCAGTGTGGATGAACCTTCATATAATTTTTCTGCTTCTTCAATATGGTTTACCTATTTTCATGATAGACTACCAAGGCACTACAGAGACCAAGAAAACATTATCCTTGTGAAATAAAGAATGTTTCAAACAAAACATATGGTAACACTAAGATGAGAAACAGTATTTATAATGAGTGAAATTCTACATTGGTAGAATATAACAAATATCCATGTAAAACTTAAAGGAAAAGTTACTTCATCCAATATCCTGTAACAACATATAGTCAATTTGAAGTTCCCAAATATGTTTTCCCAGCACTGACTTCCAGCAGTGTATTTAACACAGCATTAAAGTCAAGAAAAGAATTATGGATACTCACCCAAAAAAAGTATTATAGATTTGCCTTGATAGTTTTACCGCTCTGTCTGTTTAGGATCTGAGCTCCAACCTTGGCAGTGTTTGCCTTTGCCCTCATTCAGATATTGTTCGGTGACTGGATATGGAATAACTTTCCCAGATGTCCTAAAACAAAGGATCAACACTACCATCACATTCCTGTGCTGTAACCCTTTACTTCTCTTCCCTCTAACTTGCTCATTTTCTGTGATTTTATATGGTACTTGAATGTGTGTACAGACCCACAATACTCTAAGAACACATCACACAAGGCCCCCTTTGGTTTGGTGATATCACTCAGACCTGGGAATGCTGAAGGATCTTCAAGAAGCAAAACTCAAAATCCCTTCTGTTGTCTCATGCAAAATATGTTATTAAAGTTATGTCATTTACAGACTCTGAAGACCCCCTATGGAAGGCCTCACCCTCCCTGGGGAGCAGAAAGGATATGGTTTAGGTGGAGTGTTAGTTGGTGGGGGGCAGAGGAGGAGGGGAGGGAGAGGGAACTGGGATTGACATGTAAAACAATCTAAACAATCTTGTTTCTAATTTAAATAAAAAATGGAGGAAAAATAAAAATTAAAAATTAAAAAATAAGATAGCAATGACCCTCAAACTGACATTAAAATGCTGTCACTATCAAAATGTAGAATCTACAGAAATTGATCCTAAGACTCATATAGAAATAAATAATAATGATCTAGCATACACTCCATGAAACAATCCTCAATAAAAGTAAATTTGAACAAAAAAAAAGTTATGTCATTTAGAGATAGAAAAACAGTGGCTAATAGCAGTGGCTCTAAAATCATATTGCATAGAATGTAAACCCTAGTTTGTCACTTGCTAGCCATTTTACCTTGATCAAATCACGTAAACCTTCCAACCCTTAACTTGTACATTGGTAAGAGAGAAATAAGCATCCCCATATCAAAGAGGTATTTTGAACTTAAATGAAAAGCTAGGCACAGTGCTTATTATGCTGGTTTGAACAATAGATGTCCAGTAAAGTATACAAAGTAAAAAACAACATTGCTTATCCTGCTTAATCCAATATGTGCAGATTACTCCAAATAGCATACTTAAATGAGTATGACTGAATTCAAGGCAAAGTAACAATCAAAAACTCCATTAGAAAAACAAGTATTCCTGAAGATTTCCTCCTTGTCCTTCAATGAGCTACCACTGCAGTTGTCCCTATTTTGAAAGATGTTTGGTGTTTACCAGGATGCTTGATACTCGGGTGCTCAAAAAAGACTGTATGGGTTAATCCTATAAATTGCTCTAAACAGCATACTTAAATGGGTAAGTGTAACTCAGAGACCATTTGTTTAAGCATGCATTGCCTGAAAGTTTGCTCACCCCCTTGGTCTGCCACTGGAAGGCATTTCCTACAGGGATAGACACAGCGAGGTTCTAATAAACTGTAATTTGCTGCAGTTCTGTGGAGGCTGTTTAATTGTTTTCATGTCACTCTAGTGGAATCATTACAACTCATTTCTGATAACAAAGTCTAAGAACTGTTATTTGGTGGTGATGGTGCTGCTGCTGCTGCTGTATAAAAGTTCTTCCAGAGATGAAAGGATGGTTTGGAAGTGGATATGACAAGAATCGTCACGGCAGTTAAATCTGTACTTTCACTATTTATCCTATTACTCTCAACAATATTCCACATCCAGGGGAAATGAACAGGTAGCTTAGCCCAGAACTAGACTCAAGATCCCAAATATGGGCAATACTACATTAGGACCAATTAACCTCTTTCTTCGAATCCCTTATCTAAATATTGCATTGCTAAAGCCCCCACCTAGTAGGTTACCACATCAATTGCATGACTTGTGTTCACTTAATAATAGACAAATATAACCAAGGAACTAATTCCTTAAGTTTCCAGGGATCTTCAAACCAAGAGTTCTTATTTGACAGACTCTGAGACCAGGCTTACTAGCCACTAAATCCTGTGTCCTCTAGTCAATAATGGGCTTCCAGGCTAAGCTGACATATTCCTACCCTTGGATAATGTCTCAGTTATCCCCTTTCATTTCTCTTCTGTGTGTCTGGTCCCTCCCTGAGTAATTGTATAGATCAGACTGGTGAGCATCTCTTCTCAGAATCCCATGTGCCACAGAAAACATTTTCTGTTATTTAAGCACTAGAAAAACATTCACCTGATTTTCCATCCTAACTGTATGCCATACACTTGCCATTTCAGTGTCAATCCTGAACAGTTAAGACTAACTGACCTGACACCCAGGTGCCTGCAGCCACTTTGAGCAGAGTCTTCAGGAATTATCGGGAAAACCAAATGTGTGAAATCTCAGTGCAGATTATGAAACTTAGAAACAACAAACCACAAAGGGGGAAAAAGTTGTATAATGACAGAGGCCGAAGGTCATGGTAAGTTCCACATGGTGGGTCATAGGAACCTTGCTGTGTGGGTAGTCAGGGGTAAGACAACCTCAGTAAAAGAACAGGTGAGAACTGACGAAAGCAGTCAAAACAAAACAGTGGTTGAATGAGGGAAAACAACTCAGGATACTCTGGCTGCTATATCTACCCTAGATGCCACAAATTCAGGGCTCAGCATCACTACCTATGGATCTGAGGAGAACCCCCAAAGATCCAGAATTCCACTGCCCCATTCATCCTTCTCTTCTGGCCACCTGACAGAAACCCACCTTTTTGCCGAGGGCATGGTATGCTTATGCCCTGCCCACCCTTCCTCTCTCCAGTCCTGACAACCTCACCTCACCACACTTTCTATGACCTTCTAAAGTTGCTTACTTTTCCTATTAATCAATACTCACAGGAGGTTGCATCTGTTACAAGCCTCTTTCAAGAGCAAGCATTTGATTCAGTCATTTTTCTTTAAAATTTTTACCTAACTCCACCTATTATGAAGTTTATTTTCTTGTGAAAAAAATGGGTTCCATCCAAGATCTGTTGCCATGCTTGTGACTCCTTTTAGCATCAGTAACTGCATCCTTGATTTTTTTAAGATTCTAAATTTCATTGAAGGTGAAAGTGAACTGCGTGTCTCATCTTAATGCACCCTGCTGCCAATGGTAACCCTGTGTGCCTCTCCCCACCATGCAAACACACTGATACTCAGCCTATAGTCTTCTCATATAGCTCCTGTGTCTTAAAACTGTCTCTCTATTATCCCAGAGTTGGACTTCTCCCTTCTTCTTTCTGTTTTAAACACAAGTACTTTTTATATTCCAGTTCACTCTCCCATATCCTCCGATCTCCCATACTTCCAGCAGAATCCTTTGATGTTAACAGTACCTTCCAAACCTGGCCACCCTCTGCACTTTGGCAGAGGACTTGAATCCTCCTTTCTAGGGTGCCCATGCCCTAGAGACTGTGTCAGTCCAACTTCCTGTTTCAGTTGCCTGCATGCCAGAGTTTTGTTTACTGTAACTTTCTCTAATTATCTATGTATGGTGATACACATATTTTCACCCCCCCCAAAAAAACAAGGTTTATTCTGGGCCCTTCCCAGAAGCAGTGAGCACCACAGGAGACCAAGGAAAACAACAGAGTGTCAGGATGAGTATTGTCCTTTTCAAAGACCTCCCACAGGGATCCCTCCTCCCTGTTACTCTATCATCCTGTCTTTTCCCTGGAGACCCAGCATCCCTTGGCCTCTGCCCAGCAGCTAAACACTATAATTCCTCCAGAGTACTGGCTTTTTTCTGTGTTCCATCTGGAGCCTCCCAGACCTCAGGATGAATCAGATGCCTAGTGCCTTAACAGGCTTTGTTTCTTCAGGTCACAGGGGATACCTAAACACCAGTCTGATAATAGTGAGTTCATCCCAAAAGAAAACAAAAGGGTTCGATGGAAAGCCTGTACGTGCCAGGCACCCAGAGAGATTCTTTTCAAGGTGTTTTCTCATTGTATTCTCAACCCTCTGGTTT